ATGTGGATATCCTAACTGGGCCTTCCTGAAAGCAGAGAAGAAACCCAAACAGGACTCCAGTCAGCCATCAGGTGAAAAGGAGGAACCCAGACCCAGACCAGTGGTCATTCCGTATGTTGAGGGGGTATCAGAGAAACTGAGACGTTTATTTTCTAAACATAACGTCCCAGTGTCTTTTAAACCCCAAAATACATCACAGCAAAGACTGGTTCATCCCAAAGATCCAGTCCCCCGGCACAAACAGAGTAATGTTGTGTATGCTGTTCAGTGTCAGGAGGGCTCTGATCAGTCTTACATCGGGGAAACTAAACAGCCACTGGCCAAAAGGATGGCCCAGCAGAGAAGATCAACATCATCAGGCCAGGATTCTGCGGTCTACACTCATCTCCAGGCCAGCGGTCACTCTTTCAAGGATGAAGATGTTCACATCCTGGACAGAGAGGAACGATGGTTTGAGAGAGGAGTAAAGGAGGCCATCTTTGTGAAAAGAAATCGTCCATCATTAAACAGGGGTGGAGGCCTCCGGGTTCAACTGTCCCCCTCTTACAATGCTGTGATTGCTAGTATCACTCAGCCCTCTGTGAGTAGTAAACAGCCATCAGTGTGCTAATGATCCATTGTTAGGCTGATGGTCCTTCTTGAGCATGTGATCAGCTGGTTTTGGTTGTCAGCAGCAAACTGGTTGATCCACTCTGAGAAGGTGCTATTTAAGAGACTGAGCTGAATGCAGCACCTCAGACTGAGGAAGTCTCTTGGATGAGAGACGAAACGTTTCTGTGTTTGTTTGCTTTGTTTTGTTTTTTGGTTTTTTTTGAATGTCCAGAGGACCAGATTGAACTTTTTGGAAACTTTCATATATTTCAAATTCATTGCACACCAACTGAAATAATTCAGGTCTTTAATTGTTTTTATACTGATGATTATGGCTCACAGCTCATGAAAACCCAAAATGCCTGTCCCAAAAAATTAGCATATTTCATCCCACCAATGAAAGACAAGTGTTTTTAATACAAAAAAACGCCAACCTTCAAATAATCATGTTCAGTTATGCACTCAATACTTGGTCTGGAATCCTTTTGCATGAATGACTGCTTCAATGCGGCGTGGCATGGAGGCAATCAGCCTGTGGCACTGCTGAGGTGTTATGGAGGCCTAGGATGCTTCGATAGCGGCTTTAAGCTCATCCAGAGTGTTGGGTCTTGCGTCTCTCAACTTTCTCTTCACAATATCCCACAGGTTCTCTATGGGGTTCAGGTCAGGAGAGTTGGCAGGCCAATTGAGCACAGTTATACCATGGTCAGTAAACCATTTACCAGTGGTTTTGGCACTGTGAGCAGGTGCCAGGTGAGCTGTATGCCATAATCATCAGTATTAAAACAATTAAAGACCTGAAATATTTCAGTTGGTGTGCAATGAATCTGAAATATATGAAAGTTTCATTTTTTATCATTACATTATGGAAAATAATGACCTTTATCACAATATATTTTTTTTTATATATATATATATATATATATATATATATATATATATATATATATATATATATATATATATATAGGAAACTTTCTGCTCGCGTGTTGTCTAAGCCGTTCAGTGAGCCTGGACAGCTTTGCTGTGGACACACTCCTAATTAATTATTCTTAAAGCTAATTCAAGCACAAAGAATATTAATTGTTTAATTAACACGGATTCTTTCTTTTTCAAGCTAAATTTCTTCCATGTGACCAAGATAACTGTGAGTGGATTGTTTAATCAGTGACATGAGAAGCCATTTTATCTTTGACCCATCAGAATAAATGTGGTCATTTATTTAACAGATTCAGAATTTAACATCAAAACATGTACACATTGATTTGCTGGTCTGTTTCTGATTAATACAATTTTGGCACGTTTTACTAACAAGGCAACAGAACATTACTGATTGAGGCTGATTCACCTCTGAAGACATCTAGGTTACTGGCGAATAGAAGTTAAGAGAAGACAGATTTAAAAGGAAGATGGATGAAGGAAGATGTATGTTTGTTGACCATAATTAGCACTCTTCTTCCAACACCAGCTCAAACCCCCAATCCACTTAGTGCGCTACAACTCGTGACGTCTCTTTACCTTTGCAGTGGATGGATCAGCTCCAGTATAGAAGTCCCTTTGCACGCTACCTTTCAGCGTCTCCGGTCAGGGCGGCTGGTCATCGTCAGAAGTTGTGTGGTTTACTCCGTTCAACAGAACAAGCTTCCTTCGAAGTTGTAGGGCGTTTCGTCCGGGTGAGTTCACAGCGAGGCACTGTGACTCCGCTGGGACGGACGGACCCTCGTCTCATGGTCAAATCCATCAGCTATTGATTAAATCTGAAAGTCTCTTAGGAACTCTCAGTAAGACTCCAGTCAGAGATTCCACTCAGAAGTGGAAGACTCCTGGGAAGACATCATAGAGGAAGACTGAAAGAAGACCCAAAGAAGACTCAAGGAAGACTGAATAGTCCCAGGAAGTGTTGACTTTTTAAAGAGTACTCACTTCCTGTCACTTGGTACTTCCTGATTGGTTGAAACCACCAGCAGGGGTGGCGTTTCAGTGATGTCAGAGGGTTATTAAAAGTCAAGAGAGGATGCATGAATGTTTAGGAATGGTTAGTACAGACAGAGAAATGTTTTGAAGAATTGAGAAACTTTGCAGCTGCCAGCTTCTTATTTACTCTCTGCTGAGTTTTAAAACAAGGCACTTTGTTCTCATAACTTGCTTTCTGACTTCTGACCGACATCCCTGACTTTTGACCGACATCAAATCCACTCATTCAGACAAAAGATCAAAATGCACAATTACTTTGTAAATAGACATTTAACTTAATTTCTAAGTCTAATGAGGTTTAAAAATCATTAATACTGTTTCACAGTTGATTTAAATGAGTGGTTCACTTAAACATTTAGAAATGGTATGAACTAAACACACTTTGATTATCAAGATATTTTAAAATAGTAATGATAATGTAAAAAGGAAGAGTTCTTTCAATTGATTAATTCTTGATACAATTAAATAGTCTCTTGATGAGATAATTTGTATTTCTGGATTCAGATCAATGAAATAACAGTTCCTGTCCCCTGAAGGTCTTCAGAGACAGGTTGAGGTCGGAGGCCTAGTTCACTACAGGGGGAAGAATCAGTTTTGTTGTGTGTTTCCCTGACTGATGAAGCCTTCCAGAACGAAGGCAAAACATTTCAGCACAAAAAAAATAAATAAAAATACTGTCCAGATGACCTGACTGAAAATTTTTTGGGAGAAATCATTTTTATTTATTTGACAAAATTAACTTAGCATGTTGCTTTGCAGTATATATATATAAAAAGGTAATTTTACTGAAATTACTTTATTTAGTAAAGTATTCAGTCTCCAAATATAAAAATAAAATTATCCTTCTGTTATTTAGATTGAAAAAGTCTGCACAAAATATAGATCAACAAAACCACCACAAAAACTAAAGTGCTGGTAAAGTTTCCCACAATAACTAAATAAAATTAAGCTTAAGATCTGTTGAGCATAAATGTAACTTACAACAAAATATATGTTGCCTTTAAATGAGCTATAACATCCAGAAATTTTAACAAGGTGATCAGCTGACCCTGAAGCTTGCGGTGTTTCAGCTTCTTCTGTTCTTGCTGGAATTATTCAATTTCTCTGATGCTCAGTCTTTCATCACCTGACTCTGTTCTTGGTCCATGGACTGTGAACTCAAGAGACAGTTGAGCTGCATGTGTTTGTACCAGCAGTTTAGAGCGGGGGAGATGCAGCCTGCACCGGCAGCCCAGAGCAGGGTGGGGAGAGAGAAAAAAGATGAGCTGCGTTTGTACCGGCAACTTAGAGCGGGGGGGAGGGAGAGATGGTTGAGCTGTCTGTACCTGCAGTACAGTGCAGAGCTGAATGGAGAGACAGCTGAACCACATGTTGTTTGTTTTTAGCTTTTTAGCTAGCTTGTATTGCACGCAACTAATTAGCGTTACACCAGTACCGACAAGTGGAGAGGGGGTGCGCAATTCGGTGTGGTCGTTCGGCGCACTCGGTTCTTTTAACGGGGCGGGGCGCCCTGACGTATTACGTCATGAAATTAGCATATCATATAATTTATTTGCCCGGGCAAGCTTTTTTTACCGGTTTTATCGTGAACCCAGCCCTACATCTATTCTTATACACGGTGTAATTCCTATCTTAAATAGCCTACACAAACACATTATGGTTTGCATTCAGTTCCGGTCCAGAAAAATACTCATCTCGAAAACTACCAACATCACTATTCAAATCCCTCAGCAGCAGAGGACTTCGACATACCACTTGTTTTGTTTGTGTGGTTTAAGTATGCCATATATCCTTGGCCTGTTATCTTTTCTCTATTTTTCTTCCTCTTCCCCCCTTTTGTTTTGAACTGATCTCCCCTCCCTAATCCCAGGCATCAGTACAAACACATCACAAGTGCACATTAATCTAGTTACGCTGTCAGGGGATGCTCAGAGTCAGAATGATCTGACATCCAGACACCACACATTCTGCACAAAGACAACAATGAAGCTGTATTTTGTCAGATGAAGGAACGGTGGACGTGTCATTTTCATGTAAATGTCTGTTCCACCAGGACCTTAGTGGGATTTTTTTGGGCAAATGTTCACTTGAGCCTTTTAACAGGTGGTGAGATTTTCTTTTTTTCTTAGATTTTTCTTTTTTTTTTTACTTCAGGCTTGTATTGTTTTTAGTTCAGGACATGAACCCACATCTGAATGCACAGTCACAGCACAATTTAACTAAAAGACATGTGATGGGCTCGATGCCCGTCTGAGTAGCCCGGGTTACTAAAGGTTCAGAGACAGTGTGTGGTAATGTGTTTTGATAATTCATCATTGTAATTATTGTCTGTCTGCCTGATGTGATATTCTTGGCAGTAATTGATCAAACTTGTAAGAGTCATCATACTGGGGCAAAAGCAGGATGAGGTAATTGTGTCCATTTTCCTTGTCTAGGTGTTGACTTCAAGGTGAAGACTCTTTCTGTGGATGGCAACAAAGCAAAGTTGGCAATATGGGTAAGAATCAAACTTGAAATTTGCATCACCTAATAAACACTAATTTAGAAGATTCTGCTCTTTTCTGTTAAAACTGCCTGTAGATTCACCAGGCTCTCTAGTTGTTCTTTTAGTCACCACAAGATGGCACTTGTGAATCACTTTTCCAGCCCTTTCACTTTGAAAAGCAGTAAAGTTTGTCCCCATGTCCGTCTACATGCCTTGCAGGACACTGCTGGACAGGAGCGCTTTCGAACTCTGACACCAAGTTATTATCGTGGTGCTCAGGGAGTCATTCTGGGTGAGTACAGCTCCATAACTGAATACACTTCTAGTGATCTTCTGTAAAGGACTCTGCCTAAAGAATGTTTTCTAAAATAAAACATTACCAGAATGTGTGCATTTCTAAGGTAATAGTCAATTAGTATCAGTAGTAAATCACCAATATAAAGAATTTAAACATATAAAAAAACAACAAAGGATTTAGATGTCTCCTCATCTCTTCTGCTTCACATATAAATAAGAAATAGTCTTTAAAGTCAAGCATGGATTTATTAGATTGTTGTTGGTAAAGATTTTTATGTCAAATCAAAATCTAACTGGGGCTGCCTAGAAAGGCAGCCACCTATTATTATCCACCTGACAAGGGTTTCTTAACTTTATATCTTATTCTTCGATCAACTTTAATGCGGCCCATGTGCATGTATCTGCCATTTTAAACTGAAATTTGGTATGGTGGTACCCGAGGGTTAACCCCAACACACAATACTGTCAAATCAACATTTTTACATAGATGCAACGTAGCAGTCCCCATCAAAATTTCTCCAGGAACGTTCTAGTTTTCCTTTTATTACTACGCCTTTTGTAGTCCTAGACATGCTGTTTTTCCTTGAGTTGGGGTAATTTTTTTTTTATTAATTTATTTTGCGGGCCATTTGTTAGCAGAGTGTGGAAATAAATTTTTGCAAAACAAAAAAAGTGGTGCTGCTTAAAATTACTGTTTAGATTTCAAGTTTATACTTTTAGGTATGCATGTTCTCAAATTAAAGACCTTTTGTGACGTGATTTTCCTGCAGAGTGTTAAATGGCTCTGTTTAGTTTTGTCCAACATTTTTCAGTCAGGTCATCTGGACAGTTTTTTTTTTTCCTTTAAAAAAAAAAAAAAAAAAGAAAAAAAAAAAACTGTCCAGATGACCTGACTGAAAAATGTTGGATTGTATACCTGGATTATTGAGCATGGACTTTGTTGTTTGGTTTTGTCTTATAACATTTTTCAGCATTTTCTTTTGATTTACTGCAGTGTATGACGTCACACGACGGGAAACCTTCACCAAGCTGGACAACTGGCTTAACGAGCTGGAGACATACTGTACGAGGAACGATCTCGTCAAAATGCTCGTGGGAAACAAAATCGATAAAGTGGGTTTGCTGTCGAGTACAATATGTTTGGGTTTAACAACAAGATTGGTTGATTAGAAATCAGCTTCAGTCAACTTTATGCTGCTTGGATATTATTACCGTCAATATATCTGTTACTGTTAATATTGTATGGTCATCTGGTGATGTTTACATTGGATTAAATATAAGTATTTTTCATACCATCCATTAGAGTTGCATTCGGGTTCAAAAAAATCTAACCTGACCCGGCCCCCGTCCATAGCCGTCATTTCCGAACCCCACCCGATCCGACAAATTAACAGTAATTACAGGTCTGAACCTGAAAACCTCCCACGGCATTTTAAATTAAGCTTTGACAAATTTTTGACCTCTTTCAAGGCCAGTGAGTGACCGCATGCAGTGAAATGGCCACGTGCGGGTGGTGAAGTATGGCAAGCCATGTTGCCATATAATTGGATCGTCAGCCGCGCGCGTCCGCTGATGCAATCAAAAGCTTGACACTGACCCGGCCCACACATTAAGCACATTATTATGGACCAGCTCGGTCCAAATCTGGGTCGGGCGGGACCGGGTTCCAGGTTCGGGTTAGAAATGACAGCTCTACCATCCATTCATTATCTTTTGCTTGTTCTGAAGTCGGGTCTCGGTGGCAGCAGCTTGAGCAGGGAGGTCCAGACATCTCTTTCCACAGCCACCTCTTCCAGCTCTTCTGGGAGGACTCCAAGGTGTTCCCAGGCCAACCGAGAGACATGGTCTCTCCATGGTGTCCTGGGTCTTCCCTGGGGTCTCCTCCCAGTCATACATGCCTGAAGCACCTTCCTAGGGAGGGGCCCAGGAAGCATCCGTACCAGATGCCTGAACCACCCCAACTGGCTCCTCACTATGTAGTGGAGCAGTGGTTCTACTCCAAGTCTCTCCAGGATAACTGACTTTCTCGCCCTAACTTTAAGGGAGAGTCCAGCTACCCTGCAGAGGAAACTCATTTCAACTGCCTGTATCTAGGATCTCTTTCTTTCAGTCACTACCCAGAGTTTATGACCATAGGTCAGGGTAGGAGCATACAAACCGGATTCCAAAAAAGTTGGGACACTAAACAAATTGTGAATAAAAACTGAATGCAATGATGTGGAGGTGCCAACATCTAATATTTTATTCAGAATAGAACACAAATCACAGATCAAAAGTTTATACTGAGAGAATGTATCATTTTAAGGGAAAAATCTGTTGTTTCCAAATTTCATGGCGTCAACAAATCCCAAAAAAGTTGGGACAAGTCTATTTTTACCACTGTGTGGCATCCCCCCTTCTTCTTACAACACTCAACAGACGTCTGGGAACAGAGGAGACCAGTTTCTCAAGTTTAGAAATAGGAATGCTCTCCCATTCATGTCTAATTCTAATCTCCCATTTATTTCAAAACTATTAGAGAAGGTTGTTTACAACCAGTTGTTACCATTTTTAGAGGACCATGGTATCACTGAGCCGTTTCAGTCTGGGTTTAAAGCCCGCCACAGTACAGAGAGTGCACTTTTGAGGGTTTCAAATGATGTATTCTTGTCCACAGACTCCGGAAAGTCTGTTGTTTTAGTGCTCTTAGATTTGTCTGCTGCATTTGACACTGTTGATCACAGCATTTTAATCTCTCGTCTTGAGCACTGTGTGGGCATCAGGGGTGTCGCCCTCAATTGGTTTCGGTCATATTTAACCAATAGGAGTTTATGCGTAAAAATCGACAATTTTATGTCTTCCACTGCTCCTCTTCCACATGGTGTCCCCCAGGGCTCAATCCTTGGCCCTCTTTTATTTGCCCTTTACTTACTCCCCCTTGGCTCGATTTTTAGGAAGCATGGCATTTTATTTCACTTTTATGCTGATGATTGCCAGATCTATTTTCCCATGGCACAAAACAACACAGTTCAACAACTTACACACTGCCTTAATGATGTTAAGATATGGTTCTCTCTTAACTTCCTTAGTCTAAATGAGAACAAGACTGAAGTTATGATGTTTGGACCAAATTGCCGTTCCTCTCCCAGCATAGATCTTGGCTCACTGTCATTTTATCTCAAGGACTGTGTCACCAATCTGGGGGTGAAGTTTGAGTCTGATTTTAAATTTGAAAAACAGATCAGCAGTGTTGTTCAGAAAAGTTTTTATCAGCTCCGCCAAATAGCAAAAGTGAAACCAATCCTAGCAAGACCTGACTTGGAGAAATTAATTCATGCTTTTATCACAGCTCGTCTTGACTACTGTAATGCGCTGTATGCAGGCATTAGCCAGACGTCTCTTGCTCGTTTGCAGCTTGTGCAGAACTCTGCTGCTCGCCTGTTAACTCAGGCTCGTAGGCGCGAGCATATTACTCCCATCCTGGCATCCCTTCATTGGCTCCCTGTGCACTACAGAATTAATTTTAAGCTTTTGCTGTTTGTTTTTAAATGTCTGAACAACCTTGCCCCACCATATCTGTCTGAGCTGCTTCAGCCTTACTGTCCACCCAGATCCCTACGATCAGCTGATCAGCTGCTGCTGACAGTCCCTAAAACTAGGCTGAAGCTCAGAGGTGACAGAGCGTTTGCTGTTGTTGCTCCCAGATTGTGGAACACTTTACCCTTGAGTGTCAGACAGGCCTCCTCTCTTCCTGTTTTTAAATCTCTTTTAAAGACACACTTTTATTCTTTGGCTTTTAACACGTGATCTTAACTTTTATGGCTTTTTAATACACCTGCTGTGAAACTGGTATGTGAATGGTTTTTATGTTTCTTTGTGTGTGCTTTGTATGTTTTTATTGTTTTGTTTGTTTTTATTGTTTTATTGTGCAGCACTTTGGCTACCCTTGTGGTTTTTAAAATGTGCTATATAAATAAAGTTGATTGATTGATTGATTAATACAGGTCTCTAACTGTTCAATCGTCTTAGGCCCTCTTTGTCGCACCTTCCTCTTTATGATGTGCCAAATGTTCTCTATAGGTGAAAGATCTGGATTGCAGGCTGGCCATTTCAGTACCCGGATCCTTCACCTACGTGTTGATGATGATGTTGTGATTACTGCAGAATGTGGTCTGGCATTATCATGTTGAAAAATGCAGGGTCTTCCCTGAAAGAGATGGCATCTAGATGGGAGCATATGTTGTTCTAGAACCTGAACATAGTTCTCTGCAATAATGGTGCCTTTCCAGACATGCAAGCTGCCCATGCCACAAACGCTCATGCAACCCCATACCATCAGTGATGCAGGCTTCTGAACGGAGCGTTGATAACAACTTGGGCTATCCTTGTCCTCTCTGGTCCGGATGACATGGCGTCCCAGTGTTCCATAAAGAACTTCAAATCGTAACTCATCTGACCACAGAACAGTCTTCCATTTTGCCACACTCCATTTTAAATGACCCCTGGCCCAGTGCAAACATCTGAGCTTGTGGAGCTTGCTTAGAAATGGCTTCCTCTTTGCACTGTAGCGTTTCAGCTGGCAACGGCGAATGGCACGGTGGATTGTGTTCACTGACAATGCTTTCTGGAAGTATTCCTGAGCCCATTCTATTATTTCTTTGACAGTGGCATTCCTGTTTGAGGTGCAGTGACGTTTAAGGGCCCGGAGATCACAAGCATCCAGTAGAGTTTTACGGCCTTGACCCTTACGCACAGCGATTGTTCCAGATTCTCTGAATCTTTTGATGATGTTATGCACGGTTGATGATGATAACTTAAAAGTCTTTGCTATTTTATGCTGGGTAACCATTCTGGTATTGCTGCACTATCTTTCTGCGCAACAATGGTGGAATTGGTGATCCTCTTACCATCTTGGCTTCTGAGAGACACTGACACTCTGAGAAGCTCTTTTTATACCCAATCGTGTTGTCAATTGACCTAATTAGTGTTAATTGGTCTTCCAGCTGTTCGTTATATGCTCAATTTCCTTTTTCCAGCCACTTATTGCTACTTGTCCCAAGTTTTTTGGGATTTGTTGACACTGAAATTTTGAATCAACATATTTTTCCTTTAAAATGTTACCTTTACTCAGATTAATCTTTTGATCTGTCATCTATGTTATATTACGAATAAAATGTTGACATTTGCCATCTCCACATCATTGCATTCAGTTTTTATTCTCAATTTGTTTAGTGTCCTAATTTTTTTGGAATCCGGTTTGTAGACAAATGGGTAAACAGAGAGCTTTGCCTCACAGCTCAGCTACCTCTTCACCACAAAGGACCGCCACAGAGTCCGCAATATTGCAAATGCTGCACCAATCTGTCTATCAATCTCATGCTCCATTCTTCCCTCACTGGTGGACAAAACCCTGAGATACATTGCCTGGCCAAAAAAAAAAAAGTCGCCACCTGGATTTAAGTAAGCAAATGGGTACGAGCCTCCTATTGGTTACTGCATGGGCAATTATCTTTCAGCTGGCAACAAGTTATTTAACCCCAACTGGTGCAATGTGTTTCTTCTCATTTCTTAAACAACCATGTCAAAAGGCACATCGCATGGTCGTGGAAAAGATGTCAGTCTGTTTGAGAAGGGTCAAATCATTGGCATGCATCAGGCAGAGAAAACATCTAAGGAAATTGCAGAAACTATTAAAACGGGTTTAAATGTAATTGTACTGTACTTATATAGCACCTTTCTATCTTATCAAGATATGCCAAACTCTTTACACTACAATCTGTGCCTTCATGACCCATTCATACAGCTCTGTACTAGATCTCTACAAAGCTAATTGAACAAATCATTCTAAAGAGTCATTGCCTGTCTTGCCCAGGGACACTTGGGCATGTGACCGCTGGTGGAGTTGAACCCCCAACTCTTGCATTGGAGGACGACTGTTCTAACCACTCAGTCACAGCGGTCCAGTGCATTATTAAAAACTGGAAGGATAGTGGGGACCCATCATCTTCAAGGAAGAAATGTGGCTGGAAAAAATCCTGAATGATCGTAATCAGCGATCACTTAAATGTTTGGTGAAATCAAATCAAAGAAAAACAACAGTAGCACTCAGGGCTATGTTTAATAGTGAAAGTAAGAGCATTTCCACACACACAATGTGAAGGGAACTCAAAGGATTGGGTCTGAACAGCTGTGTAGCCTTAAGAAAACCACTAATCAGTGAGGCTAACTGGGAAAAAAAAATGCTTCAATTTGCTATGGAGCATAAATAATGGACTCTGGAGCCATGAAAAAAGGTCATGTGGTCTGATGAGTCCAGATTTACCCTGTTCCAGAGTGATGGGTGCATCAGGGTAAGAATAGAGTCAGGTGAAGTGATGCACCCATCATGCCTAGTCCTCAATATAAGATCTTGATGAAAAATTAATGTATTACTGGATGGAAATAGATCTTGTGACATGACAGAAGCTTATAGAAACAATGCCACAGCGCATGCATGCTGTAATCAAAGTTAAAGGCAGTCCAACAAAATATTAGTGTGAGACTTGGTTTTTGGTTATGACATTTTTTTGGCCAGTGAGTGTACTTGAACTCCACTTGAGGCCGAACGTCACCTTCAACCTGTTTTTTTATACCAAACGTAGTATACAAATGGGAGGAATAAAACTGATTGTAAAAATAATCTGTCCTCTCTGTTTCTTGGTGACCACAGTAGTTGACAAATCTGCCCAGCAGACCAAATGCCTCTCCTGTGTTTTAGGAAAACCACCAGGTTGACCGAACAGAAGGACTGAAGTTTGCAAGAAAACACTCCATGCTTTTCATAGGTAAGTTTCTGCTCCACCAAGACCAGCTGGGTTACAGCTGACGATTACACAAGGACACAGCTTTCATCACATCATCTATGTGTGATTAGTACTGCCTGCAGAGCTCTGTTTACAAAACAGGCTTCATAAATCAGCTTCAGTTTGCTTTCATGAAGGATTGCTTCAAAAATGTAAATGTTTAGTTGTAATTCTTAAAGGAAATAAAACACTGTTTTGGTGTGTTGACAAAAAAGATCTTGAATTTTAAATTCATTATTTATTAGGCATTGGTCTCAGCTACCACCACATCAAATTTCAGCTTAATATTTAAAAATGGCTGATTTACAGTATTTTTCCTTTTTAGCTCAGGTGGCCATTTTGGGTATACGATTTGCAACCAGAGACTGAACAATGACAGCTAATAGAGGTCCGAGTAAACATATACTTCTGTCTCTGCAGAAGAGGGTTGTCTTTTGTTTCTTTGTTGCCATTTAGATCAGTTCCCCCCCCCCCCCCCCCATCCTGTTCATGACTTTTAGTTTGACCCTTTCTGTCAGCTTTGCTGGAGTGGTGTACTTTTTCCATTTTCTAATAATGAATTTGGCGGTACTCCGTGTTGTGTTCAGGGTTTGATATACGTATGTGTATGATCTTTAATTCTCTGTAGCTCTATCTCTGACCTGTGTGGAGAGTTCCTTGGCCTTCATGCTGTCTCTGACTCGGTAGTACCCTGCACTACTCCTCGGTGTGGATGCTTTACTCCTCGGTGTGGATTCTGGGGGTTATCAGAATATTTATTCATTTTTTAATTTACTTTTAATTAAACAGGTTACAAGAGGGACTTGGCACACAGACATCAGTTATATAAAATAATATAATAATTCCAAAACTTATCTTGACCTTTAAAAGGGAGCAGACTTTTAAAAAACAAGAGTAGGTTTGAATTCATGATTTTATTTTTCATTTTCTTTAAAATATGTTTAAAATGTCCCAGGGGTATCAAACTGGATCATGTGTGTTCTTGCAGCATTAAATCTGGACAAACTGACAGAGCTCTGTGTTTATCCAGAGGCAAGCGCCAAGACGAAGGACGGTGTTCAGTGTGCCTTTGAGGAGCTGGTGGAGAAAATCATCCAAACTCCAGGGCTATGGCAGTGTGACAACCACAGCCGAGCTGTTCAGCTCTCAGATGAAGACGCCGGAAGTGGAAGCTGCGGAGGCTACTGCTCGCTGATTTAATTGACCCCACACACACACACACACATTCTAAGAAGAAGAGCCTTTCTCTTTCAGCTGAGTTTCCCACAAGGCTGTGGACTGTCCACACTCTAATGTGACTTTTGCAGTCTTTGTAAAACACAAACATAACTAAGCTCTAAGTTTAAAGATTTGTTTTTTTTATATTTTATTTTTCTTATTTTGAATTATTTTTTTTTTTTTATTGGGTTGGGGGGGTGTCTGTGTTCAAGAAACTGGTTCAGAGTAAAAAACATCCTCATTTTACATTTGTATAATTCATATCAATTAAAAATAAATGTTTGGCTCAATGCTCCGTTTACACGACGTGTTTCTTGAGTAAAACGTCCAGCCATTCATTTACAAACCACAGCTCTCATTCTCTCTGAAATCGAAGGGTTCTGAATCCAGGTCTCGGAGTGAAGATTTTCAAGGGACACTCACTCGCCCACCCCGAGTTGTGAAATGCTCCACAAGTGTGAAGTGGCACTACAGGCGTTAAGGCTCCCACAGACTCGAGCGTACTTCAGTTCGCAGAGGTCCATGCGTACCGGATTAGACTCAAAGCGGACACCCACAAGGCATGTCCGCGCAATGATCATTTTTTACGTACGCGTACTCTGTGTTGCACAATAAACTGCCTGGTGACGGACTGTTTTGTATGTGACACCAATGTATTACATTCCCCTTCTTCATCCCTGGTCTGGTTTAATGGCCTTTTCTTTTGTTTTTTCCCAAATGTCAATGTCAATGTCAATTTATTTATATAACGCATAAAAACAACAAAAGCTGACCAAAGTGCTTTACAGTTAAGACAGATTAAAAAATTTAAAAAAAGAGTAAAAATGCATCTAGTGCCACTCAAAAACATAAGTTGACAATAAAAACAACACATAACAACAATAAAATCAGCTCAACTTGTTCTCAGACTCTGCGTGGATGAAATGCCAAGGAATACAGATGAGTCTTGAGCAAAGATTTAAAAGTCTCAACAGTCTGAGCGGTCTTTAAATTCTCAGGTAAACTGTTCCACAGTTTTGGAGCAGCAACCGCAAAAGCCCGATCACCTCTGGATTTCAGTTTGGATCTGGGGACATCTAAGAGGAACTGGTTGGTAGACTGGAGTGCTCTTACTGGAGTGTAAATGTTAATGAGATCACATAAATATGACGGGGCCAGACCTTTTAAGACTTTAAAAACAAGCAATAAAATCTTAAAATCAATTCGGAAGTGGACAGGAAGCCAGTGGAGAGAAGCCAGGACAGGGGTTATGTGTTCATGTTTTTTAGTTGCTGTTAAAAGACGAGCTGCTGCGTTCTGGACAGATTGTAAACGATGCAAAGATGATTCGTCTAAACCAACATACAATGAATTACAATAGTCCAAACGAGATGTGATAAAAGCGTGAATCACCTTTTCAAGGTCTCTGAAAGGGAGACAAGACTTCACCTTGGCAATGAGTCTTAGCTGGAAGAAACTGGATTTCACAACTGTATTTATCTGTTTATCAAATTTAAAAGCACTGTCAAAAATAACTCCCAGATTCCTGACATTGGAGTGGCTGTATGAAGCCAAGGGGCCAAGCACATTAAGGGTATTACATTTACCAAAGCTGATGACTTCCGTTTTATTTTCATTTAGATTCAGAAAATTTAGTTTTAACCAGACTTTATTGTCATTTAGACAGTTCAAGAGTGGATCCAGTGAAGTGACCCTGTCTGACTCAATCGGAAGATATAACTTGAGTATCATCAGCAAAGCAGTGAAAAGGGATGTTGTGTTTTTTAAAGTGGCAAGCGATCTCTTCCTCCCCGTCTGTTGACTTCATGACTGAAATGGTGAGAAATGAAGGATCTTGTCACGAGAGGATTAAAATTAGGCCTGGTGTTGCTGTGGGAGTGTCTGGAGATTTCCTGGTGGGCCAGTCTGATATGTGGGCTGCAGGGCCAGTGCTCCCTGGTTTTTTTTAGGTTTTTTTTTTTTATAACTTTTTATTAACAACATATAAACACAACACCGCTGCCGCCTGCTGCCAGCTCTCGTTTTTTTCTCTTTTTTTGCGACCTGTCAATCAGTCCAGTAGGCGTGTCAGCAAACGATCATTGGGCGAACTTGATTTGTCCCGAAGGTAAACGCCCCTTGCCTGTGGAGCTGGCTGCAGCCAGTCAGGGTGGACGCTTGAGTATGAAGTCTCAACCCTCTGCAGACCGTGTGCGCAATGTCCGCACGGCTCACAGTCCGTCCGAGTCTGTGGGAGTCATAAATGTTTCCCCTACTTTACTTGCCTTGGCAGGGCGCTCATATCTTCCGTGATTTTTGTCAACGGGTGGGGGGTGAGATGGAGACGGAGACACATCGACCTGCGGGGGTGGGGGGTTGGCAGGGCAGGGAGCCCTGCTTGTATAATGGTAGGGGAAACACTGGACGTGTATTTCATGCATGCGCAGCCAAACGGGACACTTCTAGCAACAACATCTGAGTCAGAGTTTCTTTATTGTCATTTGCACCTCATGTGGTACATGTGGTGGAGCGAAATTATGTACACGGGGTCCCAGTTACATCCAACAATAAAATGTATAAGAAAAACAGGCACTGGAGTAGAACATATTGCTTTACTTAAAGGTACATTCAGCAACAAACTGACCTCATCTTCAGTCCACAAGAATCTTTTTCCACTAGCCATACTTTCCAGTCTCCAAATACACTAACCATACTTTCCAGTCTCCAAAAAAATATTTACGTTCTGCACACAGGGTTCAAGTGTCAATGCACATGCATATTAGGTGGAAGTACATTATTCAGAGCGCCAGCTAATGACCTGGCATGGCAATTACAGCAGACTCTGGGATTTCTACAGTTCCATGTAAACACCAAATGCTATCTGTGTAAATGAGAATATTTTCCCTGAATCAACATTGAAAAAACACTGTTTCTAGTGGCTGTGTAACGAACCCCCTTACGGTTGGACCAAAATCACCACACAAGGTCAAAATTAAATATTTATTTTCAAGATGAAGTGTTACAGATTGGACTGGTTCTGGTACTGGTTCTGATATGGGTTCTGGTTCTGGATCAGGAATGAGTCTATGAGGCAGAGATCGGTTAGTGGTCGTGCAGGACATAGTGAAGAGCAAAAAGTCAGAATGTGGAGGACCACTAACCATCTCAGATGATCTTGGGGGTTCTGGAGACTGACTAGGTCCAAACTAATCCGGATCGCTGCTGGAGAAGCTGAGTCCAGTGAGGGTCTGCAGCCGGCCGCAGCTACAGGTAGGTGGTGAGTCCGTTGAGCGCAGAGACGTGGTCAAACAAGCCTGGGTCCAAAACCGCAGAGCAGATGATGGATGTACCGGATGAGAAGACGAGGAGGCGTAGTCATGCAGGCGAAGGTCAGAACCGAAGGCAGAAGACGTGGTAATCCAAAGGGTCGAGCGAGAGACGATGTCCAGGTAAGTCGTGGGTCCAGGAGCCGGGAGGTCGAGCCGAGAGGGAGGGACAAGAACCAGGAGCAGGACAGGAATGAGGAGACAGGTAAACTATGACAAGAAGACACTAAGGCTATGGGGAAACAAGGCAGTGTCATGAATGCGAGGTATTTACTTACAATGAACTGTTTTCAACTACCGGGCACCGAAGAGAAGGAAGAGTGAAGCTTTTAAAGGGCGAGAGTGACAGTTGCAGCCAGTTGAGTTCTAATCAGCTGCTGCTGGCTGCAGTGAAGACAAAACTAAATAACCTTGACGTCGCCCTCAACCAGCATGCAAAGAAGACAAACCAAAATGCACATGTATAAGTAAACATTACCTGAGCGGACAGAATAAATGAAATTTACAGAAAAGATCTATTGCAAACATTAAAGGGTGATCAGGGTGACAGAAAATATAATCTATGGGACGTGATTCGTGACAGGCTGTGGCTGTGTAAACGAGGTCTAAATATACTATACATGTTGAAACCAAAGTCGAACAAACGTGTTATGATCATGAGAATGAGATGGTTTCTCTCCAGTTTAAAAAAGTTAAATCTGCTCCTCTGGACATTAAAAAAACAAAGCAAAACAAGAAAAATGTAGAAAGTTTCATCTTTCATCTGAAAGACTTCCTCAGTCTGAGGTGCTGTATTTAGCTCAGTCTTATAAATGGCACCTTATCAGAGTGGATTAACCAGTTTTCTGCTGACAACCAAAACCAGCTGCTCACATGATCAAGAAGGACAAGAAGGACCATCAGCCTAACAATGGATCATTAGCACCCTGATGGCTGTTTACTATTCACAGGGGGCTGAGTTATACTAGCAATAACAGCATTGTAAGAGGGGGACAGTTGAACACGGAGGCCTCCACCCCATTTAATGATGGACAATTTTATTTTCACAAAGATTGCCTCCTTTACTCCTCTCAAACCATCGTTCCTCTCTATCCATGATGTGAACTTCTTCATCCCTAAACAAGTTGCCGCTGGCCTGGAGATGAGTGTAGACCGCAGATTCCTGGCCTGATGGTGTTGCTCTTCTGTGCTGGGTCATCCTTTTGGCCAGTGGCTGTTTAATTTCCCCGATGTAAGACTGATCACAGCCCTCCTGACACTGAACAGCATACACAGTATTACTCAGTTTGTGCCGGGGGACTGGATATTTGGGATGACCCAGTCTTTGTCGTAATGTATTTTGGGGTTTAAAAGCCACTGGGATGTTGTGTTTAGAAAATAGTCTCAGTTTCTCTGATACTCCCGTAACATACGGAATGACCACTAGTCAGGGTTTTGTTTCCTCCTTTTCACCTGATGGCTGACTGGAGTCCTGTTTGGGTTTCTTCTCTGCTTTTAGGAAGGCCCAGTTAGGATATCTACATTGCTCTAGAGCCTGTATTGTGTGGGATTTCTCCTTCTGCCTGGCTCCTGAGTTAGTGGGGAAGCTGTCTGCTCTGTGGTTTACAGTCCTGATGACTACTAACTTGTGCTCCAAAGGGTGATGGGAGTCGAACTGCAAATACTGGTCTGTGTGGGTTGGTTTGCGGTACACCTCAGTTTGCAAAGGTCCCCTATCAGAGACTGAGACCTCACAGTCCAAGAAAGCCAACCTGCCATTTTTTACATCTTCTTGTGTGAACTTGATGTATTTATCAACAGAGTTGATGTGGTCAGTAAAATGTTGG